GTCAAGCTTTGATCTTGATTGCAACCCTGAAATGGTTAGAAGAAACAATGAGAAGGCAGACACTTGATGATCACAGACAGAGAGAGCTAATCCTATTTACAAAGGCGGAAAATATTAGGGTCCAAATATGTGTGCAGTCTAGGGTGGAGAACTTGCCTCCAGAAGTTTTCTGTTTGGTTGAAATAGTCTGAAAAGTCATGGGCACCGCCGTTAATGCTCCTTCAGTATCGCCGCAGAAAGGCGCCCAGAGTGCAATGAACTCGCTCTGAGTGACCCAGCTGTTCTCTAGGGCTCCTAAATCTGTTCTGGTCACATCAAGGACTCGACGACAGTGTAGATTGGCCTGTAGTTTCTGTGCCCAGTGCTTCAACCACTTGAAAGTGCGATATTCGTCACAGCCGCAGACGTTCAGACTGAGTCGGAGGATCCGAAGTTTTCCGGGATTGGGCAGTCCTGTAAAGGGATTTCCTTGTAGCCGAGTAACACCGTTTCCTGGAGCTTCACCCCACGATTGTTTCACCTCTAACCTGCGTAAATGTGGCAGCCGAGTTAGTGCTTCACCGTCCAGCACCAGCACTGGTGAGTGCGATATCTCGAGGTCAGTGGTATTAAGTACCTCACCCCGGGGGAGAACACTGCTCAAGAAAGTGTCGGAAGAGAAGCGGAGGAATAGCTCTACAATTTGACGTCGGTCCGCAGCCAGGACCGGCTCCTCGTAAAGCTCAGGGCCTCTTCTGACATGGGAAGCTGCTGGCGATGTTGACGCAGAAAATGTGTTGGTCCGGTCGATCTCGTAGTATACGATGTCCGCCTCAGTTTCAGAAAGGCCGCAAGTATCACAACGCCACAGAGAGGTGCAACTCACTCCTGACTCAGGGGGGTCCAGCAGACGTACGAAGTGCATTCGAGAGGAACCGATCTGAGAGCAGACTGTATTCAGACGCAAAGGCATGGGGAGTAAGCTAGGGCCGTCTTGATAAAATACAAGCGTCGACAAAGCTGAGAGATTGGAAGGAGTGGGAATGGATTTAGGAATTTGCCAGCAGAATTTGCAGGACTTTATGAAGAGAGAATGTAGGGCGGGGAGATTACGGACGCTTGCGGCGGGAAAAAAACTGGAGGAACTCTCTTGGATTTCGGCACGTCTCAACAAGGGCGCTTCAATATGCAAGAATTCGGCCTTATCCCTGGCAGTCGGAATTTTACTCGGCAGGCCGTCTATTTGTAGCAACAGGCCGGGACATAGTATAGTGAGATTCCGAAGCAGGGGTGCCGCTGCATAACCCTTTAGAAGTCCACAACAAATTTCGCCAATCTCTAGTGTTAAGAGGTTTGGCAAATGAATAACCTGTTGTTCGCGGAATGAAAAATCAACGTCTTTGATGATCCGCTCCTGTGATCTGATGAAGTGTAATTGCATTTGTCTAATGGATGACAGTTGTCCAAACGGACACTGAAGACCGCTGAAATGGAGCCGTTCAACATGCGGGAATTGCGAGAAGACACCTTCAGCTCTCAAGATGTCACAATGAGAGCCGCGGGCATAGATGATGAGCTCGGTGACTTCATCCTTGTTCCCGATCAGATTTCCAATCTCATGAAAACATCGAACATAGCAAATAACTAGCCCTAACGAAGGCCCGTGACACTGACTGCTTTGCCTTGCATGACAAGGGGTAGTGATATAACTCAAGAAAAACATAAATATAATAAGCATCAATATTCTGGAGACATAAGGCGCGGCGGTTTTGAACGAAAATAGATGCATTTGAAGATAAAAAAACGGGGTGTCTGACTCGCCCTCACATGTCGACAGGCCTTTGAAAATGGTCCGCCCGTGTTCGCGCTTATGCTTAGCCCGATGGCCACAGCCCGTAACAGTTGATTGGCTGCTCTGGCTAATCCTTGCAACCAATCAGAAGGTGCTTTGTGCTAGCCTTGGACAGCACACTCCGTTCAGTAAACGGGGACACGCGTAACTTTGACTGGAGCCCTGCATGTTCCCTTGGTTTCACATGCACAGCGACATAGAGGCCGGTGAATATTTCGTGCCCATTGGCAAGTAAAGAGGAAAAAGGAGGGAGAAAACAGGGCCAAGTGGCCCCTTCCTACTTTGAAAAGCTCGATGACGAGCTGTCACAGCGAACTGTCTTATTATAAACTGAGTGGGAATAAAATATCCTCAGCGCAAAAAAGTGGAATCTTCAAGATGGGGAGGGGGCGGGGGGGGGGTTGGATAGATTGGCTACTTTTGTTTCGAGCCCAATGTAGCAATATTAGGCAGATGCTATTTTTTGCGTGTTTCCCTTTCTCCAAAAGGTTAGTGACGGGATAAGACTTAGTCTTCGAATTGCAATACGCACTGATATTTTATGCATTCAGCTCACCCGAAAATTTAATTTAGATGAGACTTTGTACCAACTGACCTGGGACACACTTTCAAAGCAAGTAATGCACTGTAGAGCATTAGTCCTTTTCTAGACACATTCCCTATTACCCAGTTTGAAAAGCTTACTACATATGTATTGAGTGTCCTACACCATGTTAAAATAATGATGTATGTACAATCCTAACTCATGTAGCTTACGCTTAAAGATGTAAATTTGACATATTCTTCTGGAAGGAAATTGCGCCTCCTTCAAGTGTTTTAATCTAAGATGAAAGTGTTTCAGTCCCAAGGAATTGCACTCATTTCTGTATGTTTATGGACTACTCTGACTTCCAATAAGGTTTCCCGCTTTCTAGCATATATGTTATGTGAAAAAGAGAAAGCTCTTCGGAAGATCGAGTTGTACTCGTAAATTTTCAAGTCGGTGACACCGACACGTCGTCAAACGAAATGAACAGAGGAGAAAGTGAGATCGGCAGACTAGGTCGGCCGGCGCGGCAGGACAGAAAACGACAGATAGCTGATGCTTGAGAGGGGTGGGTATCGAGTTATGGTAAGCTGTGGTCAGGGGGAGGTAAGGGAGAACCGTTAGGGCTCCCTGTGTTGGAAGTGGACAGAGAGCGGGGGAATTGCGGATCAATGGGTATGAGGGCGGCTGGTCACTGATGCGGGCTGATGTCAGGGGGCAATGCGATGGTGTTGGAGGGGTTAGGGGATTTCGGTCGTTGTTCACGGTGTCGCAAGGGGGGGGGCGGAATGGCGAAACAGCATACGTTTATGTGGCCAAGTTGGGGTTAGCGGTTGTTAGGGTGTGGAAACAAGACAGTGAGCGTGTAGGTAAGCCCTTGTAGTGCTATATGTTTCCTGTAAGGCCAAATCATACCCATAATAGGAGTATTGGCAAGAACACCAGGGATCACGTATATTTTGGTAACGGCGGATACTATTCCGTCGCCCAAACGCTCCTCAAAATGGCAATTATTTGGAGTCAGAATAGCTCATTCACCAAAGAACTAATGGCAGGAAATGGGAATAACAACCTACATAATACAGGCGACCTTGTGCTTTTTT